ACACCCTTGGCACTTTACATCATAAAATATATACATATATATATATATATATATATATATATATATATATATATATATATATATATATATATATATATATATATATATATATATATATATATATATATATATATATATATATATATATATATATATATATATATATTATATATATATATATATATATATATATATATATATATATATATATATATATATATATATATATATATATCTTAAATAAGCGTAATTTGAGCCCCGGCCTTCACTGTATCGCGTTATAGCTATAGGCAAATTCACTTTAATTTCACTATTTCATCACTCGCCTAACAGCTAGAGGAAATTTACCTTCCTTTCAAAACTCTGTGTGGAATTTTCCGTCCCATCACTAAAAGTTCTCAGCAAATATTTGAAAACTTAATACCTGGCAGACTTTTCACAACCAACTATATTTTACTCCCCTGACTACCTTTTCCCACACACAGCCTCTTTGCTCTTACCTGGAATTCACACTCAGCTCCTCCCTCTTGCTCCAAACTCTTCTGAGAATTCCTTAACATATCTGTAGGTCTGTCGTATCCTACCCTTTAAAAACACCATTGTCTCGTTCTTCCTCTCCCAAGGCGATCTTCTCCGGGTCATCTCCCCTACACATACTGCCAGCCAAAACCTCCATCACTACTCCATCAAGAAAGCCATTAAACAATCACTGAGACGTAACGCACTCTGTCTTACTCCAGACTCGAACCCCCTGCACCTCCCCCCCCCACACACACAACTCTCTCGTTTCTCTGCTTGTTCTGACACATGTCTCGCCCCTGCAACAGAATGCCTTCAACTGCTTCTCACGGCTTCTGTATCAACACTTAGATTTTCCACTTATATACTTAAAACTATTTCTATACACTTCTACAAACCTTATTGTAGCCATGGAAACTTACGAGTCATTTCTACCCACACAAATTATCTAATAAATTCACGTCTTTCCGTCAATCCATCTTTAATACCTTCCACTTGAACCATCGTAACAAGTGGCCCGACAATGAGGGGAATCTAAGTATATACTACGGGGTATAAGATAACGTAAAACTTAAGTATAGATGAAATGAAAATGAAAACTATTCCGTGAAAATTTTGAAATGACTGCAGGCTAAATGAGAATTTTACCATACGATTATAAGCCGTATATACTGTATATATTTTTTTTCACCCTAATTTTTATCTGTGTATAGTAGCCGTTTAATCTTTATATAACCTTTTTCTTCTTAACACAAACATAAACTCTTCATACGTAGGGATTTCATGTTATGATACTTTCTTCCCAAATTCTCTCACAAAGTTCACAGCAGCCAAGACATCCGCCCACCCCACCCCGCCCCGCCCCGCCCCGGCCTTCCTCTTCTGAGACAGCTCCCCCGACACCTGACCCACTTACAACAACTTCCCTATATTTCACCTTTATCATTGCCACTACTGCCTTTTCACTCCCAATCTCTCTCACAAGCTCTCTCTCATTTCCCCTCAGAATCTTTTCTTCCTGGAGTCAATGTACGATATCTCTATATTATCGTACGTTAAAGAAAATATTTTTGTATTAAATTACTTTCTTCCCTCTCATGAATAGATTATCTGTATCTCTGTTTTTAATTATTCTATATATTCTTTTAAATTATCTTGGTACCCAATTTCCCTAACCAATTTACTATTTGTCTATTAATATTACTATAGATTCCCCTATTTAAACTGTAGTTGACTAGAGAGGTTACACAACATACTGATTTTGTTGGTCTTGTGTATGTGAACAGACTTAGTGCATCAAGAGCTTAGGTGTCGAAGTACATTAATATATAATAACACAAAACAACATCCCCAAACTCGGTGAAATATATTGAATAATACGCATTTTATGAGACAATAATCATCCCTAATCATATCATCATCCTTAACTTACCTCCTACTTATCAAAAGGAAAGTAAGAGTCACGGATCATTCTCAGCACTAATTATCAATCTCAACCCGTTTCATCCTAAGCACGTGCCATTCTATGCACGTATCATTCTATGCACGTATCATTCTATGCACGTATCATTCTCAGCAAGTATAATCCTCATTATTATCATCCTAAACACGTATCATCATCATCATTATCATCCTCTGTACATATTATTCTGTGTAAGCATAATCCTCGACACGTATCATCCAAAGCTCGTATCATGCTCAACAAGTACAGTATTATCCATCCTAAGCACGTATTATCCTCATCATTATAAAGGAGCAAATGGGAGGAGCTTCGCTGAATATTTCTGGTAACAGTGAAGGGGATCAGGTTTCCTATTGGCTGATGGGCCATTACTGTATGGTGGTGTGCGAGGAGGAGGAGGAGGAGGAGCGTGGATGATGATGATAATAATGTATATTTTAAGTATATCCATTATTAAAGAGAGAGAGAAATAAAGGGAAACAGAGGGACATATGGATGAAAGGTTAATCAAATAAACTATATTATTATTATGACTCCAGAGCTTTGATGTAAGCACAAAAACCAATACCTAATTATCAAATTCCTTATACCATTACAACACTCTTTTGGAGACAGTACAAAGCTTCCCGTCTTAACTTAAAATTCCCTAAGTACAAAGCTTTTACCCTCCCTACCCCCCACCCCCCCACCCCCACAAAATTATCTTAAGGTAACTACAAAACGTCCATTAAAATCCTGAGCTAAAAATAAAAAATCTGGCCTACATAAACACATTTCATCCAGATTTAGCATAAAAAAGACATCCCACCTCTCACACACCAGGTAATGGGTTATGAAATCTGATCACGTAAGTCAGACGGTCATCCATTGATTCCATATGTGTTTCTTGGCGTTCATGAAATTCCTCATCTCCACTTCACACGTTACACTTCATCATTCATCTCCACATCACAGGTTACACTTCATCATTCATCTCCACCTCACACGTTACACTTCATAATTCATCTCCACATCACACGTTACACTTCATAATTCATCTCCACATCACACGTTACACTTCATCATTCATCTCCACCTTACACGTTACATTTCATTCAAATACAAAGAAAAACATCAGAAATTTTATATAACATCGATTAAAATGTTTTGTTTACAGATCTAGTAGCGGGAAACTTATCATATTCAGATTTATTGTCTTTATCGTTATGTACATTTAATTTTTGGAATGGATTCATATATTTGTGTAGGAAACCTTAGACTCTCTTCAGATCATCCTTCGTGCCTATTGCTCATTTATATCATCCCAGAAATTTCGTAGTATGAGTATGAACACACACACACACACACACACACAGCATAAAGAGGTGTATGTATATGAAAGATGTGTCTGTCCTGAGGTAACGCACTCTTGGTAATGAACTGCACCATCAGTGCTACAACCAGTATGTTTCCACTCTGGACGAGTAAGTGATTATGTCTGCCTCACCAGTGCTAAAAACTATTTCCAGTGGTAAACTTATTTCCACATTACTGTTTTTTACGTAACATTATAAATTTTAGAGAGAAACTTAAATTCTACAGATTAAGATAATGTAACTATAATCAATAATGAACATAAAAGAAGATAGATATTAGAGTTAGTTTAAGAAACACACTGAGGACAAAACCTCCGCTTTACAACAACAACACATTAAAGAAAAAAATACAAACTCCTGCAAGCCTGATGACAGACCTACGGTGAAAACAACTCAGCAAGCCTAAGATGTTGTTTAATAAATTACGGTTATACCCACAATAATAAATTACGGTTATACCCACAACACTTGTAAACAATTAAAAATTATTGTAAACTCATCATTAATTAATGATAAAAATTATAATCAAACTTTCTCTTATATTTAAAAATCACAAGTACCCATCACCTGCAAATCCTCTGTGATAGTGCTAAAAACAATCTATATTTTATAATCTCAGAAAATTTAGAATGTCCATGAAAACTGACGCGTGGCGAAAAAATAACATCCCTGGCTGGAGACACTCGTGGCACAGCGGGTGCAAGTATGAATACTCTGGTCTGTTAAACTTTACCCAAATATATATATATATATATATATATATATATATATATATATATATATATATATATATATATATATATATATATATAAATTTCCTATATTAACGGAATAGTTGTGCACCCAGTATATTGACTCACACCTCTCAGGTAATTAAAACACAATCTTAAAGAAGTTTTCTGAACTCTTCTGATTTTGTTTTCCAGATATCCTTCGACACGGTAATCTTTGACTAATATTGATCTAACCCAACGAACTTCCATGTCCTGTATATCTGACAGGAATTATATTCGTATATTGTACCATGAAGACAGCAGCTTACTGTGTTAACATAAACATGAGACACAATCCACTGACCAATAACCAGCCATCGTCACAGCACCAACAACAGTGGTGTAATTGTAGCACTTTTAAAGTATATCTTTAACATTTTGAAAACTCAAGAGTGACGCAGCTGTCAAAAATTCTTGCCAAGGTGTGTGACCTCAACCCCAGCAGGCGCGTGTCCTGTTGGCCCAAGGGAGGTTGAGTCTCGCTCATGTCACCCTCCTCTCCCGTGATCTGCCAGCCAGCCAGCTTGGCCACGACCAAGGACGCATCTTTTTGTTTTATTTGAGAATTAGACAGAAAAATTATGAAGTGCGACGGCCAATGGTGTTGATGTGTTCGGCCTCTATATTGTGGTCTTATTTTGTTATTATGTTTATGTACAGGTTTCTCGGAGTCAGGATAGGCAGTCTGCAACCTTCATTTGTTTGTTTTTTAATCTACTGCCATTGCGAATTAATTTAATGACAGGAAAGGATTCAAGTGAAATACCATGCTAATCCTGTGTAAATAATAAGCAAGAAAACTCCAGATTAATGGCAGCCAAAATCCCGCACCGGCAACTGGCTGACCATAAGCTCTTGGAGCTGGGCTTGCCCGAGTCGTCAGTGGCGGTCTGGAATCCAGCGAGTACGGAGCGCTAGTTCCAGTCTCTCCCGCGCCTCCGTGCTGCTCGGCAGATCAACCTACTCTGTCATCCTCCTGGACATAATATATTTGTGATAAAAGAAACTTAAATGGATGGTCCCTCTATTTATTTGACTAGTTCAGTGGTGTTGTCTTTTAGGTAGAAAATCGAGGAGTCTAATTTGAACAAGAATAAGAAATTTTCCCCCTTTGAAAATTTAAGCCAAGAAAAATGGAGCAACAATGCTATTAACTCCAACTACTTGTCTTGCTTTTGTATGAATAGTGATGTGCAGTGGATGAGCATAACACCTGAAGCCCACCTGGATGTGAGGTTTCCCCTGATGCTGCCACAGCCCCATCATGGCCAGTGGTCACAGCCGCTGACGTTGCACTGCGCTATAAGGAGTGTTTAGTAAAAGCCCAGCTGGGAGATGCTCTGTACTGGACACCGGCCCGCCTAGCCTGACCGGGCCTTGGATGCCTCTCACCAGGTAAGCGGGTCACGCTCAATACTTCCTTTATAAGGTCATTCATAAATCCTTCCTCATTTCTTAGTTTTCTCCTGTTAGACATCATCTTTCTATCTCCTCGAACTAGTCAGCATTCTGTCTTTGGCAATCGTATTTAATTTCAGTATTTAAATTTTTGCTTGTATAGTATAGTGTTCTAGAGTGCACCTAGTTTTCTTCCCTCGATCTCTGCACGTTTTCTAGATTAACACTAGATGTCATGCAATAATCCGTGGGTAGATAAAGTTAAACCCATGTATATGTTCGTAATTTTTTACTCCGTAGTTATATATTTCTGGTGTTTTTTTTTATCTAAATTTAAAATTCTCACTAAATCAACTGGAGCATAAACGACTCTTTAAGTGCCATTATACTGTTGAGGCATCAACTTGCCATCCCAAAACCACTGAGTGCCATGGAATTACCAACCAAAAATCATCACTTAAAATTTTCACGACTTTACAATATATTTTTCCTCCGTATTATCAGTGGGCCACTTGACCTACATACAGCCGACCGAGTATGCGAGAAATGTCAGAAATATTCCTCATTAAGTTCTTATGTAAACTTTCAACCCTTGTAGTCTTTCGTTAGTTAAATCCCCGTACGATGATAATCCCCTCACCTGGCTGTGTCTGTCTGTCTCTCCAAATGTTTGTTTAGGATGTTTCCACTTGGCGTTCACTGTTCTGCGGTTTTTATAACAACAGTAACACCTCACGGTTCGTTTTTAAATACGTTTAACAGCAGAGATTTCTTCCAAGTGGATTACCAGTAAGATGTTTTTCTACATTTCACCAACAAATACTTTCCTTTACCAGTACAAGTTCCCAAACACTTTACGAAAATGTTGCTTTTCTGCGTTCATCACTAAATGTTTTTTGCCTCGCGTTCACCAGACAAAAATGTTTCTCACGTGTTTACACTCTCGTAGTATTGATACATTCACCTTTAATTGTTCTTCATTTCATGTGTTTCGAAAATGTATTTATATTATTTATGTATATTTTAGTTTAACACTCATACTGATGCAAGTTGTCACAGATCTTCTATTGTCGACTGTCTGCAGTGAAGACCTTAGTTGTAGATCATCTGTTAAGGCCCTAGCTCGTGTGTGTCTTTCTCATCCTTATCTGTGATGCAGATATCCTTAGTACATGCTCGTTGGGCATCTATCTCCCGCTCTCTGTACTTCATTCTATTTATCTTTTTGATCAACGTTCTTATTCCTTTTTCCTTCCAGTCTGTTTATCCTTTCCTCTCCTCCATCTCCAGATGACCTCACGGCAATGTATTTCTCTGTGTGTCGTCTTCAGGTCCACTTTGATTGCTTTTCTTCCAGCGCTTCTCCCTAAATGTCCCTCTGAATTGCTACCAGTCCCTAGACATCCCATTATGGAAAAACTTCCCTGACCTGTGCCTGAGTGACGGGCCTCGCAACATGTTTTGGATGCAAATTTCAATCCGCGTCCGGACCGTTTTGCTAATGACAGGACTAATGACCCCGACGACGTGCATGATTCATATGTTGACAGCCACGTCGAGAAGTGGCAGTAACTCGTTCTGATTGTCGAGGTTTCCCATGGAATAGCCTGGTGATTGGATACTGATTGTCGATCAACCTCGTCTTCCTCGACCCTTTGACAAGAGTAGGAACTTGAGGTGGTTGGTGCTTGGTGGGGTGATGAGTAGGTCGTCCCAGCAGCTGTTCACACACACGTAGACTCGTGCCAACTTATTCAAGCGTTTTTATTTGTATGACATGGATTGCCTCACGAACGAGTTGCTCTGATTGTAATTTAGTACGTTCTGATTGTGCTGTTATGTGGACATTCAGATTAGGTTGTTATCTAAACATTCTGATTGTATTATAAATACATTCTGATTATTTTATTCTGATTGTGTTGTTATTTAGAAAGCTCAAGTGTCGTGTTATTTGTACATTTTGATTATCGTATCCTGACTATCTTGTTATTTACATATCCTGATTTTCCGATTTTGCTATGTTCTGATGGTGCATTCGACGAGCTAATCTGATTGTTAGTACATGTAACATTCTATGTATATAAGCGATGGAATTCAGTGCTGTTTTAAAATATATATTTTTCTATATAACTAATGGGGGTATTCTGATTGGCTAAATGGCCAGATAAAATAGTTGGGCATTTGATGGTCTATTGTATTGGTTATTTGATGAGTTATGTTTATTTTTCAGTTAATTATTATATGTTCTGGGTGTATAAGTGATTACATTTTGTGATTGTTTGATTCACTGAATATTCTGATTGTCTGAGTGATTAATTGTACTGATTGTTTAGGTAATTAATTGCTTTGGTTTGATGGTATAAGTGATTAAATATTCTGACTGGTTTAGGTGACTGAATATTTATATGTGTTTTAAAATTCGGATTGTATTGGAGGTAAAATGTTCTGAGTGTACAGATGATTAAGTGTTCTGATTGTAAAGGTGATTAATAATTCTGATTAGAAGGGTAATTAAATTATCTGATAGTAAGGTTAAATGTAAATGACTATATGATTGATTGAATGATCTGATTTTACAAGTACTAAAATATTCTGATTGTGTATGTGGTTAAATGGCCCATATAAATTGACAGTTACATGTTTTCTGATAGTAAGATTTTATAAATTCTGGCTGAATAACTGGTTATGTGTTCTGACTGTACAAGTGCCTAAAATTCAAGTCTGAATAGATCATTTAACACCTTGACTTTAATAAGAAACTGTGATAGATTACTCTCATTATGTCATCTGTTTATTTACCTGCTGATTATTTTCTTGTATAATTACGTCTCAGGTAAACAGCCCAGGTAAACATCATCTCCATTTACACCATAGCAAAATCTGACACTCTCTACCTACCTGCCTCCCCTCCCCCCCTCTAGATTATAATGTGTTGAAAGCCTCTCTGATAATTCGTTCTCTCAAAAACTCTGATCGTCAAGCAGAATATTACCTATTGTAATTCTACCAACAAACCAACCCCCCTCTCACCCCCTCGGTAATCATCACTGCTTTACTTTGATAAGCACACAATAAATACACAGAGAAGATCATTATATCAGGGTTATTATTGGCCTCATTATATTCCTGCAATTACTGGCGACTGCTTTAATTACTTCTATTTTTACGCGGGTAACGAGAGGCGATATTCGTACTGTCTGTCTGTTTAAGAGCTTAAATACGTATGTTAAAAGAGTTCTCAGAGTTGCTCAAAAAAAATTAACAATCCACACGTTGAAATATAAACAAACTCCTCTAAGACGATAAAACAGATGTAAGAGCCACGGCGAAGTGGTAAATAGCTGACTGCTCAAACGTTTGGTCGTCGTAAGAGTTCCTACCAGTCTATTCTATACCTGTCCTCGAAGTAGTGAAATACAGGAGCTCTTTTACATGTGGCTCAAACATTTGACTGACTGCCGGATGTTTAACCTTTAACAACAAGTGGGTGATCCTTTGTAATGGAACAGAGAGTTAGTGATGATTAAGTGAAGATAGTCGAGGGGAAAATGTTATTGGTGAACAGCGTTTGTTAATGAACAGGTCAGTTAAAGGTATCTTTAGGGTCCACATATCGATATATATATATATATATAGAGAGAGAGAGAGAGAGAGAGAGAGAGAGAGAGAGAGAGAGTAGAGAGAGAGAGAGAGAGAGAGAGAGAGAGAGAGAGAGAGAGTAACACTACACGTAACAATGTCGCTTATAATGATTTACAGATCTTTATGTAAATACGTTTACCATTATCGTACTTTGACACATTTTATCTGACATTAATCATTCACGTAATAGCGTTGAGTGGTGTGTGTGTGTGTGTGTGTGTAATAATAATAATAAAAATAATAATAATAATAATAATAATAATAATGATAATAATAAACTGATTATTAATAGAGTTGCAGCCGGTGGCTGAAAATAATGATATAATATGCATTGAATACATTTACAGTACATAAATCAGGAGTTGTTTATTATTTTAACAATAGATGGGATGGTGCTGTTCTTATATCTATCGGTGTGGGCTCTTATGGGCTGAATTTTGTTGTAGTGGCAGACTGCGCGAGCTGGGTGGGGGCTGCAGGTGGCAGGAGGTGGCGATGGCGAGGGTGGTGCAGTAGTCCACTGCCAAACCTTTCCAGTGCTTGGGGGTGGAGGTCACTGAGGGATGTGTGTGTGTGTGTGTGTTTTGAGGTATATAGAGTAAAATTAGCCAGGTAAGGGTCTGTGTGTTTACCTGGAGGAGGAGTGACCAACAACAGCGCCCAGGATAAAATGTGGTACTTCATGAGTGGGCTTGTGCACCACCTCTTTAAGCTTACCGCGGTCAGGGAAATATATCTCGCCTCTCTCTCTCTTTCTCTCTCTACACATACACACACACACACGCACCTTTCCACACACACACACCTCCCCCACGCACACACGCGTTCTTATGAAGGAAGGCTTTACTGTAACTGCTCAAACAGCTGAAATATCCATCTGCTTACTACATTACCGCTAAGGGGAATGTTTGTTTGGTGTGTGTGTGTGTGTGTGTGTGTGTGTGTGTGTGTGTGTGTGTAAGAGATGTATGTGTTTGACAGTTTCCTACTCCAAGTCACCTTGTTAAAACTTTTGTGCAAGATCTGAGGAGGTGAAGGTCTGCATTCAATCAGTCAAGTTTTTAGTGCAGTGGTAGTGGTGGTGGCAGTTGCTGTTGTTGATTGTATTGTTAGTAGTTGTGTTTGTTTATTTTTAATTATAACTACAACAAAAGAAGAAACTACACTGTAAAAAAAAACAGTAAACCTAACGCAAAAAGACCGTAAATTCTCACTGACGACCGATACCCATTTTACGGTTATTTATTTGTTTTTTCCTTAAAATCTACATTAAAGCGCCGGTAAATAATTGACAGTAAAAAAGAGTAAAATTTACGCTAAGAAGACCGTCAATTTTAGCGTATTTTGTTTAACTG